TTGTGCTGTAAGTGCAATAGCATACACTTTGGAGAGTGTAGGCGAGAAAGTAGATGATGCTTTACATGTGGACAAATGGAACGTAGAACTGCAAGATACTTAGAATCTTTCGGGCTTGATCATGGGCACGTTAAACATTCTTGGTTACTTTGCTAGAGTTTTAATTGATTGTGATGTAGAAATTTTATGTTATTAACGATGTTGCCAAAGAAAGTAGTGAATGAGCACGATCGAGGCGTATATATGTATTTCTGATGAAGAGCAAGATGATAATATTACACCCTTGAGAATTGTTGCTTACTTATCGAGACAACAGTGAGTTATCATTATTGCGGGCTGCAGACCATAATATCCATAACTTATTTGTTGGATTCGTTAAGCAGGTAAACAAGTAGGTAATTCTATGTCGGTTATGATTATTCAGGGTGTCCAGTGATGGTGGAAGAAGTAGTTATGCCAGCGAATCTTATCCCGTTAGACATTGTGGATTTTGATGTGATTTTAGGCACATATTGGTTGCATTATAATCGTGCCAATATTGATTGCTACGGGAAATCAGTTACTTTCCATCGTCTTGGATTATCAGAGGTTACTTTTGTGAGTGAGCAAAGTGGAATGAGGCATGCCGTTATTTCTGTTGTGAGAACAAAGAGATTGTTATCAAAAGGTTGCCAAGGATACCTAGCTCATGTGGTGTTGCAGGATCGTACTCCTAGTATTTTGGATGACGTACGAGTAGTAGACATTTTCCTAATGTGTTTCCGGAAATATTTACCTGGATTGCCACCAGACAGAGATGTGGTGTTCACTATTGAATTGTCTCCAAATACATATTTTATGTTATAGATTGGTTCCTGCAGAGTTAAAAGAATTGAAAATTCAGTCACAAGAATTGGTTGATAAAGGTTTCAGTCAACCTAGTACGTTACCTTGGAAAACCCCAGCTTTGTTTATAAGGAAGAAAGACAGGACCTTAAGAATATGTATTGATATTAGGTAATTGAATTGGGTAACGATTGAGAGCCGTTATCCATTGTTGTGTATTGATGATTATTTGATCAGCTCTGAGGCGCCTATGTAATTTCTGAGATTGACTGGAGGTCTGGATAATATTAGTTGAAGATTAGCAGTGTGGATGTTCATAAGACTGAATTCAGGACTCGTTATGGTCATTTCAAGTTAGTGATGCCATACAGAGTGACGAATGCACCTGCTACTTTTATGAGTTTGATGAAGGAAGTATTCCAGTGATATCTAGACCGGTTTGTTGTTGTTGCCATTGACGAGATTGATAAGATTAGAACGGAGCATGCTAGATATTTTGAGTTGGTGTTGCAATGATTAAGGGAACGTCGATGTATGCTAAGTTTAGCAAATGCTAATGTTAGATAAATCAAGTGACATTTTTTAGACATATTTTATCTACGTAAGGTATTCAAGTGGATTCTTAAAAGGGTAGCAGCGATTGAGAATTTGGAACAATTGCGAACCGTGACTGAGATTCAGAGTTTTCTCGGCTTAGCAGGTTATTATTGATAGTTCGTCCAAGATTTTTCAATCATTGCTTTGCCTTTGGCGAGATTGATGAGAAAAGAGGTTAAGTTTGAGTGGGATGAAAAATTGTGAGTAGAGCTTCAGCAAGTAAAATATTCCCTCACTCATGCATCTGTTTTCGCACTCCCAGACGATAGTGGTAATTATGTGGTCTATAGTGATACTTCTTTGAATGTTCTTGGATGCGTGTTGATGCAACATGGTAGGATGATTGCCTATGCTTCACGGCCATTGAGATCTCATGAGATGAATTACCCTACTTGTGATTTGGAATTAGCGGCTATCATTCTTACTTTGAAGTTATGGAGACATTATATTATTGGTGAGAAATGCAAGATTTTTATGAATCATAAAAGTCTCCAATATATGTTTACGCGGAGAGATCTTAATCTTAGGCAACAAAGGTGGATTGAGTTGCTTAGTGATTATGATTGTGACTAGGGTGGTCGAGCTAATGTTGTGGCTGATGCATTTAGTAGGAAGACTCCAGTGAGAATTAATGCTTAGTACGCTTGCTATGTTCATCTTCTTGTGGATTTGAGATCTACTGGAGTAAAGTTGGGTATCAAAGATCGAGAAGAAGCCTTACTTGCTAATTTTCAAGTTAGACCTATTTGGTAGATCGTACTCGAGACCCAAACGTTTGATGAAGAAATTCAAGAATTTATTTAAAGCAAGGGATAACAGGAAAAAGAAAGACCTCAGAGTTAGAGAATCTTATGGCATGCCTATGCAAAAGAACAAAATGTATGTACCTAATGTTATGGAATTAAAGAAAACAATTTTGGACGAAGCGCACGGTTCATCTTATACAAGGCATCTTGAAGGTATTAAAATGTAACATATCATTCGAAAATTTTACTATTGACCGAGTATGAAAAGAGAAATGGTGGAGTATGTAAGTAGGCGTATCATCCGTCAGCAGGTTAAAGCGGAAAGAAATAAGTCATTTGGATTGATGTAGTCATTTCTTGTTCCACGATGGAAATGGGAAAATATTACTATGAATTTCGTGGACAAGCTTCCTCGTATACAAAATAGTTAGGTTGGAATTTGAGTAATAATTGATCGGCTTGCGACGTCAGCGCATTTTACTTCAGTATGAGAACATCAACCTTTCTAGAAGTGCAACAGTGATTTATCTGTCTTATGGAAAAGAGATTTGGGCATACGGATCTGTTGAACTTCTTGGGTATGTTGGTCCTTCAGTTTGTTCCCAAGAGGAACGCCATAAGGCCGTGGATAGCAGTGTCTTGTGTTTCAAAATTGTTAGAATTGTGGACGGATGGTATTTTGGGGAGCAAAAGGTTCAACCACGAAAAGTCTGAAAAAAATTTAAGGCCATGAGGTAGTGGAGGAGACTACTCGGAATATTCAAGTAATTAAGTCTAAACTGAAAGTGGCCCAGGATTGTTAGAAGAGCCTTGCCGATAGACATGGCACGGATCGGATGTATGATGTAAGTGATTGAGTATTTCTGAAACTTTAACCTTGGAAAGGTGGGGTTCGGTTCGGGAAGAAAGGTAAGTTAAGTCCTAGGTACATCAGACCATATGTGATCACCGAAAGAGTCGGTGAAGTTACTTACAGGCTTGAGTTGCCTCCAGAGTTGTCGAAAGTGCATAATGTGTTCCATGTTTCCATGCTTCGATATTATGTTTCTGATCCTTCACATATGATTTCTCCTTAATCTTTGGAAGTTAATCCGGATTTAATTTATGATGAGGAACCAGTGATAATCTTGGATTGGAAGGACAATTTCTAAGGAATTAAACAGTGAAGTTAGTGAAAGTTTTATGGAGGAATCATTCAGCAGAAGAAACTACTTAAGAGACAAAAGATCGAATGAGAGAGATGTTTTTCAGGTTGTTATATGGATATTGATGGATTGTAAAGATTGTGTAAATTTCAAGGATGAAATTTTTTTAAGGTGGGTAGATTGTAGAGATGGCAATTTTAACCGTGAAACCCGATACCCGTGGATAACCGCCCGAATGGATTAGGTTTGGATATGAAAATTCGGGTATGGTTTGGATATGGGGAAAAACCGTGAACTTTATTTGGTTATGGGTTTGGATATGGTTATAGGGGTATCCAATCCATATCCGTACCCGAATCCAAACCGAATATTATATATATATATATTTGATATATATTATATTTTATTCAATTAATTCTTAAAAATTCAATTTTGCAACCCGGATTCACTGATTCAGCAGTTGTGTAAAATGACATGATTGTCCATCTCATCTTTAGATCCTACGGTGAGGATGATGAGTTAGAGGGGTAGAACTAGAATCATCTTTTTATCATAGGGTTTCAGTCTTTCAGATTAGGACTTGAATCTTCTTTCTTGGGCGTAGCCGCGCAGGTAAGGCCATGCATGCCGCCGATCCTGGCACGTGTGAGAGAAAAAGAGAGTGACAATGAGAGAAAGAGAAGAGAGAGTGGTTGTCCAGATAATAGGGAGAGAAACAGAGAGGGAGGGGTTGGGATGGTGAACAGAGAGGAGTAAGGTCCCCCGACTCCGGGACTCCCTCAGTGTCAGTCCATGAATCACTCTGGATCGTCCGTTCCCTTTTGCGTGTCGGATGAGTGGCTGGATTTCGAAAGCTAAGTTCCTTTTTTTATTGGATTCTTTATTGTTAGCATATATTTTCATCATTTCAGCCTTTTTGCTGTGAATTATATCCGGATTTTGTTGCACTGTTTGGTCAGGTTTTGGGGGTTCCTTTATTTGTTTCATTCTCTGTCATTTTCTTTCATTTTGTTGATGCAGCATCTCTCTGTTCTGTGTATTGTTCTTTGTTTTAAGGTCAGTTTTTTTTTTTGTTGGTTTTCAATTCGTTGATCTATGACTCTGTGTTTAGATTTTCGTTCGTGTATGATTAAATGGGTATTGGGTTTTGGTGGTTGAAAATATGTTTTTTTCTTGCTTATGCTTCTTGCTCATTTTCCTGGGATTTTTTGTTTTGAGTTGCAAGGGTAAAGAAAACACTGAAATCTTAGAAATCGGTTTTGGCATTTGTGTTAATGCATTTCCATTTTTGGTTTGCAGGATAGGTGGATGCATTGAGACCTAAAAATATTTGCGTGAACATCATAAAGTTTTCTAAGGCTCCAAACGTTGAAGGGTAAGTGTTTTGAGCTATGTTCAATTTTTAATTTGATTCTCTACTGTTGGGGATGCATCTCTGATCTCTCCGTTCTGTGTATTGTTCTTTGTTTTAAGGTCAGTTTCTTCTTTTTTTTTTGGTTCTTTTTGTGGGTTTTTAGTTCGTTAATTTGTGACTCTTGTGTTTAGATTTTTCGTTGGTGTATGATTAAATGGGTATTGGGTTTTGCTTGTTAAATCAATAATTGTCTTCTTGTTTATTGTTATATATTTAGTTTACATGTTAATTGACTCAATTTCAGTATTATACCATGTCTTTGTTTACATATTAATGGATTTGGTTGTGTTTGCAGCAATCAAAATGTCTAAAAGAAAATTTAAGTCTCAAGAAGAAACAATATGTACCCCAACTGATTGTAATCTAGCACCTACATTACATCCAAGTGCTGTGCAACAAGAAATACCAAGTCAAATTGCTCAGCCCCAAGATATACCAACTCCAAATGAGGTCGCTGGTGAGATTAAGGAACCTGGGGGTGATGATGGTGAAGGTAATAATTCGAGACTTCGCAGTTTGGTGTGGCAACATTACACAAGAACACTAGTTGATGGGGTGATGAAAGCAATATGTAATTATTGTAGCAAGAAGCTTGGTGGGAACACTGTAAATGGAACCAGCCATTTGAGGCATCATGTGACGATATGTCCACGTCGGAGACAAAAAAAATTGAAGCAAACACTAACCCAAAAAGTAGGAGATGGGAAAGTAGAGTTGTATACATTTGACCAAGAAAGTGCAAGGAGAGCTCTCGCCCAAATGATAATATTGCATGAGTATCCTCTTTCCATGGTTGAGCATGTTGGATTTAGAAACTTCATGAGTGTTGTCCAACTGTTGTTTAAGGTTGTTTCAAGAAACACAATCAAGAGTGATATCCTCAAAATATATGATTATGAGCGTTTGAAAACAATGCAATTGTTGGATGAAAATAAGAGTAGAATTGCCATAACTACTGATATGTGGACTGCAAGTAATCAGAACAGAGGATTTATGGCAATAACATCTCATTTTATTGATGACTCTTGGACGTTGCAGAGCCGAATAAGGTGATATTTTTAATACTTTAACTTCTATTTAATTGTTGTCTAGCTTTAGATTTATATTTCAGATTGTTTATTGTAACCATCTTCATTGTAATTTTTTTTCAGATTTATTTATGTGCCTTGTCCGCATACCGCCGAGACACTTTCAGATGTTTTGATGGAGTGCTTGCTAGATTGGAACCTCGATCGTAAGCTTTCTACCTTAACAGTAGATAATTGCACTACAAATGATAAAATGATTGATGTTATTCTTGAAAAACTTTCTGGTAGTTCACTTTTGTTGGGGTGGAGGGTTCTTTCACATGCGTTGTTGTGCACATATATTAAACTTAATTGTGAAGGATGGTCTCGAAGTGATTGGTGGTGGTATTGAGAAAATTCGTGAGAGTGTTGTTTATTGGACAACAACACAAAAAAGAAAGGAAAAATTTGAGGAAGCAGCACGTCAGTTGAAGCTTCCAGGCACTAAGAAAATGGTGCTTGATTGTAAAACTCGATGGAATTCCACCTTTTTAATGATTCAATCTGCTTTGATTTACAAGGATGTTTTCCCTCGTTTGAAACAACGAGAGTCGCAATATAAGTGTTTGCCTGATGATAGAGATTGGGAGATGGCAAGAGAGATTTGTGAGAAGTTAAAGTTGTTTTATAATGTCTCCGAGTTGTTTTATGGAACTAAGTACCCTACAACCAATCTTTATTTTCCAAAGATTTGTGAGATCAGGTTGTCGCTAACTCGGTTGCTTACCTCTAGACGTGATGAAATAAAAAATATGGCAAGAAGTATGATTGAGAAATTTGATAAATATTGGAGTGTGATTCATGGAATAATGGCTGTAGCTACTGTATTGGATCCAAGATTCAAGATGAGGCTGATTGAGTATTTCTTTCCGCTTATGTATGGGCAATATGCTTCGAATGAAATTGATAAGATTCGCAAATATTGTTATGATTTGATAAAAGAGTGTGGATCTAATCATAGTTCTAACATGGGTCATCAGCCATCATTCACTTCATCTCATTTGAATCAATCTGACTTTGAAGAGATGAATCCTTTAATGGATAACTTTGACTTGTTTGTTTCTAGTACTGTAAGTACTGATAATGAAAAGTCAGAATTAGATCACTATTTGGATGAGGCTGTTTTGCCTAGACATCTGATTTTGATATTTTGGGTTGGTGGAAATCAAATGGGACTAAATATCCTATCTTAAGTGTTTTGGCAAGGGATATATTAGCTATTCCTATATCTACAGTTGCTTCTGAATCAGCTTTCAGTACTAGTGGGAGATTTGTAAGTCCACACCGTAGTAGACTTCATCCAAAGACATTGGAAGCCTTAATGTGCGCCCAAAATTGGTTGTGGAAAGAAATTCAAGGTACTCCAAAGTATTAATTTATTTTCATCTTATATTTGTGCTGCTGTGCATGTTCTTTAATCTTAATTTCGAACTTATTTTTCAAACTTAATTAATTAGTATGCATTCAGTTTTTAGAACTAATTTAAGTCTTCAATTTCATGTTTCACAACTAGCTTCTTGTTCTAATGCACACGTTGGTTGTTGCACTTATTTTGAAGAAATGGATATGGATGAGGTAAGTATTGGCAATTATATTATATGTATATAAATATCTTCTTTGTAGATTATATGTGTACAACGATTCATAATAATTATTTCGTCATTTTCTTAATAATGTAGGATTCATGCTCCATTGATGGGTGTGAAGGAGGAGATGCAGGAGCACCATGAAATAATGATGATGGCAGCCTTGGCGGAACTAGAAGCAAATTGCATATATCTCGTTCTTTTGTCGTCAATATATTATTATGTTTTTTGTAATTGGAAGTCGGATGAGTGGTTGGATTCTTTACTGTTAGCATATATTTTCATCATTTCAGCCTTTTTGCTGTGAATTATATCTGGATTTTGTTGCACTGTTTGGTCAGGTTTTGGGGGTTCCTTTATTTGTTTCATTCTCTGTCATTTTCTTTCATTTTGTTGATGCAGCATCTCTCTGTTCTGTGTATTGTTCTTTGTTTTAAGGTCAGTTTTTTTTTTTGTTGGTTTTCAGTTCGTTGATCTATGACTCTATGTTTAGATTTTCGTTCGTGTATGATTAAATGGATATAACCGATAACCGATTGAAAATCCGTCACCCGGTGGATATGGTTATGGATAATCCCCGATTGGTTATTTTACGGTTATGGGTATGGCTAATTTTTGTGGTTATGGGGATGGATATTGCTTTTCCGTCCCCAAACCAAACCGTTGCCATCCCTAGTAGATTGTGACAGCCCGTCCCTAATCTTATGAGTTTTTAAAGTTTTAATAAAGGATTTTACAAAATTGCCCCTTGAGGTACGCATATTTTTCGAGATTAATAGTCATGTCGTGCCATCTAAGATTTGTTTTCTTGACATATCATCGTAGTACTCGTCGTTACGGACGCGTGGGCGCAGACGGTTTGTGATTTGGAGTTATATCGAAAAAGTTATTGACGTTTGAAATTTGGGAATTTTAGGAATTTTAATTTTAGTAAAATATAGAATTTCTTTTATGAAAATAGATGGCCCAGATTTAATGAAGAATTAAATGGATGGCTGGGATGAGAGAAAGAAGATTTTGTGTGTGTGTGTGTGCGTGAGAAGAAGAAGAATCAGAGGAAAGAGATTGGGCAGAAATGCCCAATCGGGAAAAAAGAGAAGAATGGATCATGAGGGAGTGAGAGAGAGAGTTCAGCGAATGGAGAGAATAGAGAGAGAAAAAACGACCAATCGGAACATATGACAGGAGGAAATGAGGGAGAGAGTGGCGCGGGGGATCGGCCGGATCCCCCTTGGCCCATTTTTGACCCGTCGGCATCCATGCCTATTTTCGACGATTTTCACCCGTTTTTCCGGCGAATTGCTTCAAGAAACTTCATAGGAAACACTCTAGGAGCCTTCCTCTATCCATTCCATCTCAAAATTGGAGAGATTTGGCTTTGAAAATGGAGAAAACCGCAAGGAGGGGTGCGGCGACTTTGGCTTCGAATCACCCAATCCCGAAGCAATTTCTTTCAATTGCCACCACCCATAGCTTCCTCTTGAGGCCTAGAACAAAGCTCAAGCATTGATTGGAACGGCGGAGTTGATTTGAAGACGAATTGGAACTCACCCAATTCTAGGGTTCTTCACGGTTTTGACGAAATTGGAGCCTTTCCAGGCCAAATTGGCCTTGGCCTTAGGTATAAAGTTTACTCTAATCGTTGGATTTTCCGGCGAGCCGGGGAGGCCAACTGCCACCCGCGGCGGCCCATGCGGCGGCACATGGCCAGTGGCCTGCCAATGTCATTCTTAGCATGTGTTTAATGTTCTAGGTTCAGTTTTGATAATTGATTGATGTAAATTGAGTAATTGAACCTAAGTTAGTTACGATCCGTGGTGAGGTGAAAATGTGAATTGACGATTCGATCGTCGGATCGTCACCAAACTTTGATACATTGTAACACGTAATATTTGAGGATTATAGAAACTGACGGATTGGGAATCTGATTTACGGATCTTCCGGAATTGGAGTTGTAAGTTCATAAAATAGAATGTTAACTGTCACTTGGTTTTGACAATTGGCGGAGATCCGACCATTGGATGGTAATGGAATTTTAGGATGTAGCTCTAGGGATATATTGTGAAACTCTGGAAGTTATGGATTGGAAATCTGAGTTGTAGATCTTCCGGATCGATCTACATAGTGACGTGTTTTATATAAGTTATATATTCTATCGATATGATTTCTGAGGTTTGATTTGATGATTGTTCTAGGCGCCGATCGTCATGATGCCTTGATGTATTGTGCTAGGGAGTTGTAGGGCGAACTCCAGGTGAGTGGGCAGTATTTTCTGTATTTACCTATATACTACTGAATTTCTCAGAAATTGAATTTAAATGAAAGTTTAAAATGCCATGCATGCATATTATGAATTATATGAATTAGTAATTGATGCATATATATATATGTAAATTGGTGTTGTGGACGCACATGCGAGTATCAGGTGAGTTTTATGTTATTTATGTGAATCATTGATGATATGAATTGTGTTGAGAGCTCATAACCTGCACCCCTGGTGTTAGTGCTTATAGTATTCACCGCACTGCACGCTCACCTTGGATCCAAGTAGGTGCATGTCGTACAGACCATGAGAGGGTTCCGACATGCTAGTCGTACAGACCACTAGAGGTGGTTCGGACTGGTAGGTGACCTTAGATTATGTGCACAGATGATTGATGAGAGAAGCACTAGAGCGTATTATTACACCATTCTTATCATACAGACTACTTTAGGTAGTTCCGATTTATGTGTAGAGTAGTGCCGTACAGGTCACAGTGGTGACTCCGGTTGGATTGGATATTGAGCTATAGAATTAACCGAACAGGACCAACTGCAGGGTCTCCGGTTGATTCCTTATTCCACCTGTTATATTGATACATCTTTAGTATGTTTTGATGCATAGCATGTCATATTTTCTCGAAAAGTGTTAAAGACTTGTGATTTGAGTTTTGAGATTTTATATGGTTATATATATTATATTTTTTAGGAAAGTATACAGGTTTTACAGCGAGGGGTTAGAAATGTTTTAAATAAAATATTTTCGAAAAACTTTGTTTTACTAACCCACTCAATTTTGTTTTGCGCCCCTCCAGGTTCAAGTTAGCAGAGCTTTGGTGGCCACGAGGAATCCAACGGTGTTCTGACAGAATTCACAAAAGTAGGATTCACCCCCGGGTGTTATATCTTAGTAATTGTATCTTTAAAGCTTCCGAACTGTGTAAATGGTTACGTCACTCTCACATGACGGCCAGCATGCCCTCCTTCGGGACCGGGTGTGTCAATATGTCCCCTCACTCTTTCTTGTAATTTTTTATAAAGAGGGATAAGGTGTATGTCCTCCCTTTTTTTTTTCTAGTAATTTGTTTTTCTTGTTTTATAAGGGATAAGTTTATGTCTCCTTAACTAAGGGTAACCTTTTTTTTTTCATAACAATAAACTTTGCTCGTACTGCCGAGGTTTTTCAATTCTTTCTTGTAATAGCAAAGGAGACAACTTCACATTTTAAAAGTAAAATGAAAAAGGATTTTTCCATGCAATAGGACATTATTACAAAAGTCGACCATTTGTGTTTGCGTAGCCGTAAGCTACTACCAAACCAAGAAATAGAAAAGGGCCAGTCATTTTCTTAAGATAACATTAATCTATCTGATCCAAGAAAGCCTTGAAATTCTTGTTCGAAGACCCCCCTTCACTCACAGCCTCTCTTGCCAAATCTTTCCATTTCTTAGCATTCCTTCTCATCTCTTCACCAATCTCCCCACTTCCCATGACCAACTCCAAACACCTCTTGAACTCCTCACCCGTAACAATCCCCTCCTCATTTTGTGTCACCCTCAATCCTGTCTTCCAAGTGTCTTCTATCAACTTGGCATTCGTCCCTTGGTCCGTCCACTGAGGAAACGCCACGACAGGCACCCCCGAAACCAGGCTCTCCAAACTTGAATTCCACCCACAATGTGTCACAAAGCAACCCAACGAAGGACTCGAGAGAACCGCCACTTGACTACACCATGGCACTATCCTCCCGAGCTCTTCTAATTCCTCTCTGCAACTCAACATCTCTTCTTCTTTCTTCGCCTCGTTATCGTCTCCCTTCTTCTCGACTTTATCTCTAATAACCCACAAGTACGGACGGCCACAATCCAACAACGCCTTCGCGATTTCCTCCATTTGGGCCTTTTCCAACACAGAAATGCTTCCGAAGGATACATAAATCACCGACCCTTCCGGCTTCGAGTTCAGCCACTCGAGGTACGAAGAGTCCTTTGATTTTTGGAAAAGATCGCCTCCAAATGACTTGTCCGATGGAACCTTGCTGTCCAAGGAAGCAGACCGAATCAGTGGCCCGATTCCAATCAAATTGTACTTGTCAATTGCTTTTAAGGCTTCTGGCTCTAGCGCATCGAACGTGTTCACTAGAATGGTCGGATTGGTTTCTCTCTCCAGCAGATCCATCTGTTCTTGAAACAACGGGAGGGCGAAATTGTACGGATTTGTATCCACCATGAAGGAGGGAAGGTCTCGGCTTGTGAGAGATAATGGCAAACCTGGTAATTCTATTGAACATGGAAGGACATCGTTCGTACCAGAACTAGTATTATCCCGGATGAGATCTTTGTACCCGTTAAAGTAATAGTAGTAGATGTCGAAAACTGTGGCTGGTTGAATCCAAAGCAGTACGTTTTGGAGGTGAAGTTCATACGCCACGTCCGCCGCCCAAGGGAGAAATGTTGTGTAGACTAGGCAAGTGTAAGGGTGACCCTCGTTTGCACTTGAGACTACAAGGTCGGTGATGGCTTGTGCTCCGCGGCGCCGCAGCTCCAATGCGTAGTGGTCGTTGTTGTTGGTACGATTAAACCCGTCGTCGTACCCATCAGAGAAGAGTGAGTAGGTCAATCCATCTGGAATTGAGTCATTGCCTATGCGGTGACGGGCGGAAAGGCAGGTAACGAAGGTGACATGGGCGCCGGTAGTGTTGATAAGACGCTTGGCGAATTGGAGGGACGGGTTGATGTGGCCTTGTGCCGGGAATGTGACAAGTAGAAAGCGGTGTTGCACCATGGCGGCGTATGCGATTGCGGAGTTGCGCGGTGGAGCGTGGAGGTGTTGGAAGTAGAATAAGTAGGTACGTAATTGATTGGTAGAATATTTGTTTCTGTGGGCTTATTAGCTGAGTGAAATTGAAATTCTTGTGGGAATATACATTCAAGGTGGGGAGTGTGTTGAGAGGATGTCAAGGCTTAAATAGGGGTTTGGGGGTAGAAAGGTGACGTTTGTCGTGACGCATTGAAGACGCTGGAGACGAAGCAAAGATGAGAAGAATACTTGTGTTTTGTGGTCTTCTCGATCATGCATAATATTATGAGTAATACTAGGGAGGTCATCTATACTTAAATAAAATACTATATTTATCACATATTTGTGTATTGTATCATTATTTGTATCATCTTTCTAA